TTTTTTTCATATGACTATAGGTAGCTTTAATTTCTTCATCTGAAAACTGCCTATTCATATCTTTTGATCATTTATCAGTTGGGAAATGACTTGTATTCTTATAAATTTGACTCAGTTCTCTATCTATTTTAGAAACAAGGCCTTTATCAGAGACATTGGTTGTAAAAATTCTTTCCCAGTTTTCTGCTTCCCTCCTAATCTTGGTTGCATTGGCTTTGTTTGTGCAAAAACTTTTCAATTTAATATAGTCAAAATTATCCATTTTACATTTCATAATGTTCTCTATTTCCTGTTTGGTCATAAATTCTTCTGTTCTCCATAAATCTGACAGGTAAATTATTACTTGCTCTCCCAATTTACTTATAGTATCAGCCTTTACATCTAAATTGTGTACCCATTTTAACTTTATTTGGCATATGGTGTAATATTTTGGTCTTTGCCTAGTTTCTGCCATACACTTTCCCAGTATTCCCAGCAGTTTTTGTCAAATAGTGAGTTCCTATCCCAGAAGCTTGGGTCTTTGGGTTTATCAAACAGTAAAGTGCTATAGTCATTTACTACTGTATCTTGTATACCTAACCTGTTCCACTGATCCACCACTCTATTTCTTAACCAGTACCTAGTAGTTTTGATGATTACTGCTTTATAATACAAGATCTGGTACAGCTAGACTGCCTTCTGTTGCATTTCTTTTCATTGGTTCCCTGGATATTCTGGACTTTTTGTTCTTCCAGATGAATCTTGTTACTATTTTTTCTAGCTCTATAAAATAATTTTTCAGTAGTTTGATTGGTATGGCACTGAATAAGTAAATTAACTTAGGTAGAATTGTCATTTTTATTATATTAGCTTGGCCTATCTATGAGCAACTGATGTTTTTCCAGTTACTTAGATCTGACCTTATTTGTGTGGAAAGTGTGTTGTAATTGTGTTCATATAGTTCCTGGGTTTCTTTCGGCACATAGACTCCTAAATATTTTATAATATCTACAGTAACTTTAAATGTGATTTCTCTTTCTATCTCTTGTTGTTGGGCTTTGTCGGTAATATATAGAAATGCTGGTGATTTATGTGGGTTTATTTTATAGCTTGCAACTTTGCTAAAGTTGTTTATTATTTCAAGTAGTTTTTTACTTGATTCTCTAAGTATATCATCATATCATTTACAAAGAGTGATAGCTTTGTTTGTTCTTTGCCTATTCTAATACCTTCAATTTCTTTTTCTTCTCTTATTGCTAAAGCTAATGTTTCTAGTACCCTATTGAACAACAGTGGTGATTATGGAAATCCTTGTTTCACCTCCAGTCTTATTGGAAATGCTTCTAGCTTATCATTACATATAATACTTGCTGAAGGTTTTAGGTAGGTGCTATTTAATATTTTAAGGAAGGCTCCATTTATTCCTATGCCCTCTAGTGTTTTTTAATAGGAATGGGTATTGTATTTTGTGAAAAGTTTTTTCTCCATCTATTGAGATAATGTGGTTTCTGTTAGTTTTGTTGTTGACATGATCAATTATGCTGATAGCTTTCCTAATATTGAACCAGCCCTGCATTCCTGGTAATTTTTTAAACTGTATTGACTTCCCCAATAGAATATAAGCTCTTTGGGGACAGGTATTGTCTTTCTGTTTGTGCCTGACAGATTGTAAGCACTTAATCAATACTTGTTGACTTGATTCGGCTGTGTGACATTGAGAAAGTCATCTAACATCTCTGAAGCTCATCTCTGAAATGAGGGGGTTAGACTACATGACCTCTAAGGTCCCTTTCATCTCTTCATACAACATTGTGGGGCAAGTACAATCATCTCTGCTTCATATACAAGGAAAATTAGGCTCAGAAAAACTACATGATTTGTCTATGGTCATATATGAGAACAAAGGATGAACAACATAACAAATAGCTAGTAAGTGTCAAAGGTAGAATTTAAAACCCAGCCTTCCTGATTACATGGTCAGGACTCTTTCCACTGTACCATGTTATGTGAAGAATGAAAGGTGGAAGAAAGAGATGAATGTGTGAAGTAAAAATTAAAGAAGTCAGGGAGATGAATAGAGTCAGATGAGGAAAGATTGTTTCATTCATTGACACACTTCAGTCTTTTTTTGGTTGTGTCCAACTCTTTGTGATCCCCTTTGGGGGTTTCTTGGCAAAAATACTGGAGTGGTTTGCCATTTTGTTCTCTAGCTCATTTTACAGATGAGGAAACTGAGGCAAAAAGAATTAAGTGACTTGCCCAAAGTCAGACAGCTAGTAAGTGTCTGAGGGCAGATTTAAACTCAAGAAGATGAGTATTTCTGACTCCAGGTCCAGCACTCTATCCACTGCACCACTTAGCTGCACTTCACTGGCACAATAGTAGATGGTTAATAAATGCCTGTTGATTAATTGATGAGAAGAATGGGAAAGGAAAGGTGAGGAATATAGGATGAAAGGATCAGGCAGTAGAGACTGAAGATTAGGTTGAGAAAAGAAATAAGTAGGAGGGGAAGAGAGGGAGGGTGTGATGAGCATGGAAGTGGTGGGATGGTGTGATGAACAGTGCTAGTTGTTCAACCACTCCTATTTGCTATTTACCCTACTATTGACTCACTGCCCAGATGGGTTTCTGATATAAATATATCTTCCCATAGCAGAGAAACAATATCAAATTCTCTGTAATCCTCTCATAGCCTGTAGCCAGGCAAAATACCTCAGTGTTAGATCTGAATCTCCCTCTTTCTGAAAGATTCTCCCATTGCAACTGCCTTCTTGTTCCCAATAAGTACAACCAGACTAGCAAAGGACTGTGGTTGACAAAGTTTATAAAGACAACGAAAACAAAGAAAGGAAACAGACTTTTTTGTGCCTAGAAAGAAAAGCTTCAGGCTTGCACGATAGAGTCTAAGAGGGAAAAGGAGGTATCAGATTAGAGCCTTGAGCTTTGTAATCTGAGAGAATATAGACATTATTCATGCATGATATGCCCAAGCAGCCGCCCTCCCAGACTCCTGGCTCCTTTCTTTGTGGCAGGTATCTCTGTCTACAATATCCCTTGGCTTCTCCTCATTCTCTTTCCTAATCTCCTATATGCCTCCAATCAGAAGCTAGGTTCCTTTGAGTCTCTCCTGGATTCATTGACCCATCTTTAAAAGATTCAGTAGTATGGCCTATCATTTTTTATCCTATGGGGTCCTATTCAGATTTATGGAATCATAGATTAAAGAGTTAAAAAGGACTTCAGAGGTCATTCAGTCCAGTCTCCTTACTTTACGGAGGAGGAAATAGAGGCACAGTAAGTTTAAGTGACTTACCCATGGTCATGCCTCTAATAAGCATCTGAGTTAGGATTTGAACTAGTGTCTTCCTGGTTCTAATTGCAACTTTCTATGAACTATGCCATCATGTATACTTCATAAAGGGGTCACCTGGAATGGCAAAAAATGTTATTGTAACATGAGGACCCATCTAACATAGGTCAGTTCATGTCACAGGCTATAGATGGCTTGTGTGTGGCAAATTAAGTAGACCACACAGGGAGGTAGTATTATAGCAGAAGACCAAGCAGTGAGTATTTGCAGGCTGGCTGTTGAGGGAATTTTTTAGACACCTGATCCTGGGATCTGGCCTACTCCATCTACAAAAGGAGATTGTGATTTCCACTTTTGAGAGGAGGGAGAAGAAGGCCACTTCTCTTTTATTTTCCTCTTTCTGAGAAGGGTATTAGACTAGAGTTACAGCTGTCTATTGTGTATCACGTGGCAGCTAAGTGGCACAGTGGATAGATTGCCAGACTGGAGTCAGGAAGACATGAGTTCAAATCCAGTCTCAGATGCTAGCTGCGTGACAAGTACCTGATCAAGTCACTTAACCTCTCTGTGCCTCAATATCCTCAACTGTAAAATGAAAATAATGATAGCACTTTGTACAGTGCCTGGAACACAGTAGCTACTATATAAACGCTTCTTCCTTTCCTCTCCCTTTCTGGGGAAGCAGGCACTGGGGACTAAAGGGGCTAGCTTTCCTCACAGAGCTGCAGTTCCAGATCTCTTTTCTGCCATTCAAATGTCACCCTTGCCTCTTGAACTCTAACAATCTCTGCAGTCTCTCCACCAAGCTGAAGCCAGATCTCCCACCACACATGCAGCAGGCAATACAAGAGGGCCAGCCTCCAGAGGACTGGCTCAAGCTCACCTGGGCAGGGATGGGGCTACTTTACAATCCATTTAAATAGCATTCTGAAGCCCCTTTTCTGTGGTCAGGTCTGTGAAGCACAAACTCCCTTATAAAAGGAGGAAGGCATAGAGGTGAGGAAGATTCTGGAGGACATGAGGACAGGATAGGGAAAATAGGGATGGGAGATTTAAAGTGATAAGGAGGCTGGAGGAAGAAAGAAAGAAGTTAGAGGGAAAAGATGAGAAGGCAAAAAATATGAAGAGGGTAGGAGGGAGAGGATGAGGAAGAGAGGATGAGGTAGTGGGAAGGAAGAACAATGAAGTGTATGAGGAGAGTGGAAGGATATTAAAAAGAGGATAATGAGGATGGAAGAAGCTGCAGTGGCAACTGTCCAGAGCAATTACCAACTGTTTGGAGCAATTTAATTTTCTCAGAAATAGAGGAAGGGGCAGCTGGATGGCACAGTTGATAGAGCACGGGCCCTGGGGTCAGGAGGACCTGAGTTCAAATCCAGCTTCAGACATAATATTTCCTAGCTGTGTGACTCTGGGCAAGCCACTTAATCCCAATTGCCTCACCAAAAAAAAAAGAAAAGAAAAGAAATAGAGGAGAAATACTAAAAAGTTCTTCCCTCTCCCCCTGTATTTCTCAGCACTGATTTCAACGTAGTAGTGATCGTAGGATTGCTTTAGGGAAACCTCATTTAATTTGGCCACAAGTCACCCCAAAAGCTCCCATGGTCCAATACTCAAAGCCCATACAGGACTTCTCCCAGCATCCTTCATGATGTGGTTCCCTGTATCCCCACCTCCAGATTCAGTAATGTTGTTTTTCTCCTCACAGGTGGTCCACAAGGCTGTGCTAGATGTGGATGAGGAGGGCACAGAAGCTGCAGCTGCCACAGGCATGATGATCGTCACTTCTTCAGCAAGGTGGCCTTTACCTCTAGTCATTCAATTTAATAGTCCATTCCTGGTCTTTCTGTTGGTTGACGATAATATGCTTTTTATGGGGAAAGTTAACAACCCCCAAAACGCATAGCCGTCTTGAAGAAGAAGGGCTGACGGTTCAATAATGAAAAGACTTGGAAGTAAAGGGAACAAGAGATCTATTTCCAGGTCAGCCTGTCATGTACCAAGTTACTTGAGGCTAGTCCTGTACCCTCTGTAAACATGACCTTCTGCATTTGTTAGAAAAAAATAAAATCATCCTGATATGCTTTGAGGTATGTGTCGATTATATAATAACCTTTTGAAACTGAGAATTTTTTCTTTTTATTGTTTGTAGTTACTTAATTTTTATAGTGTTTTATTTCCCCCCCAGTTACATATCAAGAAATTTTTTAACATTCATTTTTACAAGATTTTGAGCTGCAAATTTTTCTCCCTCCTCCCTTCTGAAAATGGCAGGCAGTTCTATATAGTTTATAATGTGCCATTATGTAAAAAATATTTCCATAGTAGACACAAGTTGTGAAAGAAGAACCAGATCAAAAGGGGAAAAAAAGACACGGGAAAGAATAAAAGGGAAAAAAATGCTTCAATCTACATTCAGAGTCCATCACTTCTTTATCTGGATATGGATAGCATTTCCTTTTTTGAGTCTTTTGTACTTGTTTTGGATCATTATGTTTCTGAGAAGAGCTGAATCACTCATAGTTGAGTGATCACATAATGTTGCTGATACTGGGTACAATGTTTTCCTGGTTCTGCTTATTTCACTCTGCCTCAGTTCATACAAGTCTTTCCAGGATTTTCTGAAATCTGCCTACTCATCATTTCTTATTGCACAATAGTATTCCATTACATATGTGTGTGTGTGTATATATATACATATATACCACAGCTTGTTCAGCCTTTCCCTGATTGATGGTCATCCCCTCCATTTCCAATATTTTGTCACCATGAAAAGGGCTGCTATAAATATTTTTGTACATGTAGGTTCTTTCCACTTGGAGGAGAAAGAAGCTAGTTTCACCTAGGAGGGTGCTTGTTGTTCAGTCATTTTAATCATGTCTGATTCTTCATGACCCCATTTGAGGTTTTCTTGGCAAGAGTACTAGAGCAGTTTGCCATTTCTTTCCTCATTTCATTTGTACAGATGAGGAGAATGAGGCAAACGAGGCTAAGTGACTTGCCCAGAGTCTTATAGCTAGTAAGTATCTGAGGCTGGATTTAAACTTAGGAAGATTAGTTTTCCTGACTCCTGGCCCAGTTCTCTATCCAATGTGCCACCTAGCTGCCCCAGGAGAATGGTAAAAAATAGTTTTGTGGGAGTTGTGTGAACATCAAGATTGCAGAATAGATCTTTTTGTGCAAACTTCTTCAGCACCAAATATCAGAGAAAGGAATTATGCCCAAAATACAGAGTAATTTTAGCTTTAAAATGAGATAGGAAAAACCTCTATACAAAGTTAACAAAATACTCAAGAATCATTATCAAAGAACTATAATACTTAGAGCTCTCATTCAGAACTTCTCAGAAGACTGGCCTATTGCTAAGCCTTAGCTGACAGAAGTACCTTCAGGTCTCACCATTGATTGTTATTCCAAAGTACTATGTACTTTGTTCCTATGCACCCAATAATGGTTTGGTCAGCCACATTTAGGCACAGAATTCAAAGGTCTACTGATCATAATCAGTTTAGCAAACTTGATCTAATCCAGTTATCCAGAGTTAGTAAACTGTTTTTAGGGACAGCTAGGTGGTGCAGTGAATAAAGCACTGGGATTGAAATCAGGAAGATCTGAGTTCAATTCTGCCCTCAGACACTTACAACCTGTGTGAGTCACTTATGCTGCATTTGCCTCAGTTCCTCATCTGTAAAATGGCAACATACTGGAGAAGGAAATGGCAAACCACTCCAGTATCTCCTTCCAGAAAAGACTTCCTTTACCCCTGGCAGACAGCTGAAGTGATCTCTCAGGCTCCTGGCTGGACATTGGGACATAGGCTTGCCACATAGCTTCAATGGTTCTGTCTAGGCAGCCTTCTACCTTTCATTCCTCAAAGTGACAGGTGCTTACTCTGCTTAGTCATGTGAAGGAAAGAAAATGAAGAGAAGGAGCAATCTGATGTCCCACCACTCTACTCTGCTGTGTTCAGAGTCATAGCATAGGAGAAATCAGACTGTAAGGTTTGACAGAAAGGAACCTGGGAACAGTTCCCTCTTCCCTGAGGTTACTCAGAGTAGGAATGCCACCAACTCTCATATTCTACAAGACAAAGAGGGCAACGCTGTAAGCAGCCCAAACTCAGCATCAGCAGAAGGGCGAGGGTTCGTGACAGTGAGGGGAAATATGAGGGAGAAAGTGAAAACATCAAAAATATAAGCCTCAAAAAAAGCCAAGTATGCATGCAAATAAACCAACAGAGAATATTTTCCCCTTTCCATCCCTCTCCCCCAGCACCATACCACTGAGATGATCTTTTAGTGTATGTGTGTGTGTGAAAGCAGAAAGAAGAATGAGTTAAAACTCTCAAAGAATCCAAAGTACTTTAAACCAATGCTACAATAAGAAGGATAGTGAACCAGTGCTAACTGATGAAAGACAGGTATATGGACTTTGTTAGTGAATTTCCATATATCATGAAACAGCAAAAATCTCCAGAATGATTTAAAGCAAAAATAAAATTCAGATGTAACATGGAAGCTCTGGTCCTATTCTCTTAGGCTATACATGCCTCTCTGGAGGGAGGTAGGAAGTTGGGGACATCTCTCTAATGCCATTGGTTCAAGTCCTCACTACCTATGTTCCTTCATTTGTTAGGGTGCCCAGTGCCTAGCACTTAACCACTTAACATCAATTGGCTTTACAAAGGGATAATCATTTCACAGATATAGTTAGAAAAAGCATATAAACATTACACACAACACCTTGGGAGCATAATCTCCACCTAGGCCAGCTTAGATGGTAGAATGGCTTATGGATTAGACCCAAAATTTAGCTCCATTCCAGCATGGCATTGGTCCCAAGTTTGCATTCAAGTGTGGCATGCATCTCAGTTATGCCTGGAATGAGTTCCCAAAGGTCACTGCTAAAAGTCCCTACTTGTTGCTCAAGGCATTGTACTATACTGGCTTAAGGAACCCAAACTCTATAATGGCAGGATTCTCAGGGAGGATCCATTCTCTTCACACCATGGGTTATCAGTGGTTTCTTGGCTGCAAACCGTATTTCTGGAAATATGAGCTGCTAAGTAGTCTTTTGAACCTTTCCAGTTCTAAAGATCATTGACTTCATTTTCTTCAGTAAATGACCTCCCTCAAGAGCACTGAGACAAAGAGGAGAGATACCACCTTGTCCTTAGCATCTCCCACATTGAGACTTCATCTAAAATACCCTGGCCATGCATCAGACCCTCGTTACATGTAAAAGAAAAAATTAGGAATGAATTCATTTTAGAAATTAGACCTTCCAATATAGAAGAAACCAGAAGTTTCAAAATATATTAGTCGTTGAGTCAGTCCATAAGTGTTTATTAAGTGTTTACTATATGCTAGGTAGGCAGTGTGATAAACTGATACAAAGAAAGGCAAAAACATGATCCTTGTCCTCAAAGAGGTTACATTCTAATGGGGGAGACAACATGCAAACACACACACATACACACATACACACACAATAAAAGGTAATCTCAGTGATATGGTGCTGGGGAAGAGTGATGGAAAGGAGAGAATACCCAGAAACATCTCCTACCAAAGGAGAGATTTGAGCTAATTCTTGAGGTGAGGGAGGTTATGAAGTGGAGGTAAGTACGGGGAGTATTCCAGGCATGGAGGATAGCCAGTGTAAAGTCATAGAGACTACAGATTAAGCATCAATGCATGAGGAACAGCAAGGAAGCCAGTGTAGCTAGATCAGAAAAATCTAATACGTGATAGATACTCTTTCCAGAAGAGGTAAAAGTTGAGAGAGACAGACAGACAGACAGAGACAGAGAGAGAGAGGGATGAAGAGAGAGACAGAGACAGAGACAGAGAGACAGAGACAGAGAGATAAAGGTTTGTGTGTGTATATTTGTGGGGGGAACATAATGAAGTGGAAGAACATTGGCAGAAGAGAGACAAAAGTCAATGATATTAAAAGAATCAAGCCAACTGACTTTGAAGATATGATGTGCAGGGCTAATGTAAAGATTATAGCCTCCTAGAAGATGATAAATTTAAAAATAAACCCTGTGCTGTCCCTCTGTCAAAGACAGAGGCCTCTCTCTCTCTCTCTCTCTCTTTCTCTCTCTCTCTATCTCTCTCTCTCTCTCTCTCTCTCTCTCTCTCTCTCTCTCTCTCTTTCTCTCTCTCTTTCTCTCTGTCTTCCTGTTCCGAGGAAAAAGAAAAAAAAAATAACACCTGTACTTTTAATTCTAAGACATGAAATGGTTAAACTGAACAGTTTCAATGACAGTAAATTGTGGAAATAGCCAGAAGAAATATTTTCAAATATGAAACAAAGGTGATTTGAATAAAAATGGATTATTGCATGACATTGAAGAAGGCGATGGAATAATGCAGAGTGGGAATCTGCAGCCTTGAGGCCTAGGAAATTTGTTCTGTGAAATTTGGATTCAGTAGAAGGGCTGCACTTAAGGACCTAGAGGGCCACAGGTGGTCTCAATGCCGCAGGTTCCTCACCCCTGGAAGAATGTATTTCAAAAAACAATAGATCTCAAGTTACAAGCCAGAATGAGGTAGTCTGCAAACCTAAACCTAATCATAAAAGAAATAGATCAATGTTCAATAAAAAAGAGAAGCATTTGAAGTATTCTTGCAAAAAAAATGGTAAGCAGATTATTTGACTTGAAAACAACACCAATCATTAAATAACCACAATAAATAATTAAAATGATCAATTTAATATCTTCAAATAGAGATACTTCCCTAATTCTTACTTGCATTGGGATCTGAGTCTCCAGAAAGGAGCTGCCTGAGAGACTAGGTTTCTAATACTGTCATTAACAAACCTTTACCATTTCTTATCTCCTCATTAATTAGTCAGTAGGACTTAATTCACTTTGAGAAAATGTATTTTACTAAGGTAGTGTAGAAAGAACGATTGATACTAAAAAAAAAAACAAAAACAACCAAAAACCAAAAGTCTGGGGCATTTGAGAGTGGGAACAAACTCCAAAGGTAATAAATCATGAATGTCAAGAACACAAGTGACAAAGGGGTAATTTGAAATTCCTGGCAACTGGATATCCTTTTATCTCTTCATCGAGTCCTC